TGGGCTTTCTGTTACCTGATAATTTGCGGAAGAACCATTGTTCAGCATACCATATAATTTGAGCTATGGAGGGAGAATCTTAACATCAGGAAATCTTGTGCTGCAGTTGCATCTTGGTCTCTCAGCACCAGTTACAAGCTAAATTTTTCTCAATTATTCAGGGTGTGGGAACATTGCATTGTACGAGATCAATGAAGGTTAAAGTTTCTATTGGAATCAAATCAAATCAAATGATTTCACCCAACTCAGATATTACCTTGAGGAGAAGGAAAGCTGCAGGAATAGATTGGAGTAAAGGAAGCCCAAGAATGCTGGCGAACTTGACCACCAGCCAGAGACGGAATCAGAGGAAATGAGAAGAAAAAAAAAGACAGCATCACTTTTAAGATTAAAGAATAAAAAGAGTTTCTTCATACCTGCCCAGAAGGAAATGCTTTTTTTGCACTTCAATCCATTCGATTCTTATCATTATACAATTTGAAATGAGACAGCATAAAGGAAAGAGGCAAATCAAGAAACAAGTATCAATACATGGGAGCTTTTCCTTGTGATTGAACAGGTTGATCCCATTTTTCATATATATACAGTATATAATGTTTCAAGTTGTCAATAATCATATACATATTGCCCTTGGAACAAAACCTTGCATGCAAATGACTGAGGAAAATTCACATTCCGAAAGTAATCTCAGGCAAGCAACACAAAACAATAGCATGATGGAAGATTTAGCAAATGTACAGTTTTCAGAATTATGTCAATCTGTGTAAGAGAGAGGGAATCACAGCTTCATAGACCAAGATCTGCAGGGAGAGAGAAGAACCAGTCTTCAAATTGCTCCTGATGGTGAGACCAGCTTTTGCAAAGTCAACTGACCATAAGGATGGGGCGACGGTGATGTGATGATGGCTCATCGCTATCTGTCTCTGGTAAGCAGTATTAACAAGGAGGAAAAAAATATTATGGTTGGAAGCTCTTTAAGGAGAGCCATTTTTAAATCACAATCAGTTCATTATGGCCTCTATCAAATTCTGGTGTTCCCTGGTTTCCCCCAAAAGACTGATGCAATAGATTTGACGTATTAAGTTTAATACCTAATCCTCAAGGAAGGTAGCCATGAGAATAGAACAAGAACTGTGTTTTTCCATGTCATCAGAGTTTTATTTCCATTTTGGATGACTCCATGGCGTAAATGGGAGTTGGACCATCCGAATGTATCATGGCCAAACTGAGCAGTTTATAGGGAAGTGGATTATTTCCTCTTTCTAAAGGAAAAAATACTAGCATAATATCGCAAATACTGACACCAGTTTTGGGCAGTAAAATTAGCTAAGTGACTTGGAGACAGTAAGGACTGCAGATGCTGGAAATCAGAGACTTTAGATGTGAAGCTGGAAAGGCACAGCAGGTCAGACAGCATCTGAGGAGCAGGAAAGTCAATGTTTTGGGCCGAAACCCTTCAGGAGCAGGAAAGTCAATGTTTTGGGCCAAAACCCTTCATCAGCTGTCTGACCTGCTGTGCTTTTCCAGCTTCACGCATACTAGCTAAGTAATGCCTCTTCCAACTTTGAGTGGAATACTAATTCAGTTCTATATCATCCTCTCTGCCAAATATATTACCTCCATGTCGTAGCCCTTTACTGCAGTCAATATTTGTTCTTAACAACAATACACAAAAATCACACAACAAATTAATTTACAAACCCAAGCATGCTTCATGTGGTTCACTCAGTTTGGTGTCTAAAATTTGCAGGTTTCTAGTTCTCTACACTAAGCTAATCACCAAGACAATAGTTACAAGAAACATCACCAACAGCATTACCACATCACTGGCAAGTCCGAAGTTTAAAAACAACACAAGCATGTCTACAACAACAGTGCACACCAGCTAATAACTTACCAGTTGTTTTCAACATCTTTGTTTTTCCTGTATACTTGCAGAAGTGGGAGAGAGGTTACAGATGGAGGTGTCAAATAGACAGAGAAAGATAGAAAAAGTCAGAGAAAATAGTATAAAGTTGCATATACTCAAAATATTATAACATGTTTGCAATTTCAGTCACTTGAAGTATTCCAACCTCAGCAATAACAGTCATTTCGTTACAAAGTTCTCATCTTTTTTATGAAATGACAGCAAAAGTTCATCCCATTGATTTGAAATAGAGCAAAAAAGACAAAAATAATGGGTTAATGTTAACCGCACTTCAAATTGTCCTGATAAAATATCTTAGATTTGGTTAAGTTTGGTGAGATTGACAATTATTTTGCTCCTTCTGTAACCTCTGCTTCCTTGCTTCTTTCCTCATTCATACTTGTTTGTGGTTGACTTGTTTAATTCATGTCCACAACCTCTTTGTTTTTCTTTGCTTTATCTATTTCCCCAACACCTACCCATTCACTCACCCCACTATGCCTACTCTCTTACTTAATCTATTGTGGCAAACATATGCCAATTTTCCTCCTCATATCTCTTCTACCTTAGCTATTACCATCTAGTTCAAACCAATCAACTCTCACTTAACTTCTATTTAACTTCATCTCCATTGCTTTTGCAATCTGCAGCTTTTCTCAATTGGGCGATTAGTTAAATATTAGTTGTAATTTTCTACATATTTATCACAAGGTGAGACATCACCAGCCCCAAGACATCAAGGATATAACATAAACAAAATCTCTCACATTCTACACTTGGATGAACCTTTTCACAACAAAATTTGTAAAGTACATATTTATATCATATGAATACTCCAAATAAAGCCACCTAACGTTTTGTTCTGTGATCTTCACTCATACGGAGACGGAATTAGATACACAAACATAGGATCCAACTAACTGCATTCCCGATTTGTTACACAAAATGGTCTGTTTGAATTCTAGATTTTAATGAAACTATACTTGGTAAGGGTTATTTTCATAATCTTTCCATCAGCCAACATTATCATTATCTATTTGCTTTAGTTTTCTTAGATGTCTTTCGCACCGCGTTTTCCTAATTCAATTTTGGATCACTAATATTTTAGAAATGTTGTTCCAACATCAATTGGAAGCGAATTGGGGTGAGAAATTTGATCTGTTGGCTTCTCATACCAATCTCCATATCCATAGAAATTAGCAACTAAGTAGAGTCAGGCTACTCTCCAAAATAACTAAAAATCTGGTTTCAATGTATAAAGCTGTTTTCTTCTTGTCAATGTAAAGGAAAAACTGAAAAATAGCTCCGCCCAAATTTGCAAAGTTGACAGTCACAAATAATGTGTATAAAAATCAGATTACATACTAGAAAATGCATTTGCTAGAATTTCGTGAATAAATGCAGCATTAACAAACCTCAAGGGGATAAAGGCTAGAACATGTGGGATTGTTCTTGTAGAGGATTCCTTTGGAATACCTGGTAGAATTCTCCACGATAGTGAAAATGTAGCCCCGAAACGAAGGGCATGAAGTAAAATTATTCACATGTTTAATGCATTGGATTGTTCACTATTTTAGTGGGGAACAGGAGTGTTTATTTAACACAATGAAGTTTCAAGGGAATGTATTCCATGTTTCTGTGGCAGTATCACATAATATTACTTCCAGAGTCATTAAAAAATATACATTTATTTGTTTCCATAAAACAAATAGAGAGGAGTCACTTTCATTTTGTGTAGCTGTCCTAGATAATAAAAACAACTTCCTCGGCTTTGAAATATTTGGTTCCTGAAAACATGTTAAGTGGAATGAAACAATAATCCTGCTCCTCTGCGTTCTTCTTTAATTCCCAGATAATTGACGCTTTGCTTCACAATATTAATTTAAGGTGAAACAATTGTAGGACATGCATATTAAGTCAATTTTCAACTTCTTGCCCATGCATAGCATAGCTACTGAAGATCAAGTGACCATTGCAGAGACAGGAAAATCTTCATTTCCATGGCAATGACAATCAGATTGCATCAACAATAAATGGCCCATTCCATGGTGCCAGCTTTACACCAAGCTGGAAGGTTGACAATCTACCCCATTCTCTCAGTCTTGCTAAACACAGCGGACAGGTCAGATATAATTTTATTTCTTCTCAATTCCATCTATTCACCTGACATTTATTTGGTGACTATCGAGTTTAATTAAAATAACTCGATAAGTTGTGATAACTACATGCCATAAGTCTGCTTTGTTTACAGTTATCAAATTCCTTTGATACATTTTCCAGATAAGGTCATTACTCAGATGTTCAGTGGATTTTGCATTGGTCAAAGGCCTGTGTAATTAAAAAACAGCTTCTTAAGTGATCAAATTACATGTGAATTTAATATTTTAATTTTTGGAACTTTTTTTTTCAAAAGTGTTCTCATACTGCTGCTGTAGCTACTTTTAGTCAATATTAGTAAAGAACCCAAGATTGCAATGTTAAATCAGAATTCATTCGGCCATAATATCTTTAGTGACATTTCAATGGATAGCAGCAAGGCCCTGTATTTTAGCAAATTGGTTATTTGATTGCATAAATTGTTCTCTCTTATCTTTATCTTTTAACTTACTATTACACTTCAAATTTTCATGGTCACTGAACTGCATTCAGGATAGTCCTGACTTACCTGCAAAGACAGGCATAGGTCAAACAGTTTTTCAAAAAGGTAGCACAAGTTTGTGAGTTTAAAAAAAAACTGGAGCAACATTTTTTTCTGAAACCACTGTTTACACAGTAACACTGGAAACTCAGGAGGACTAATTAGTTTCTTGAGCCTGCTAGAACATTCAACGAGACAATGGCTCATTTCAACCTCAATTTCAATTTCTACCCTTCGTTCTGTGTTCCTGCATACCATTAGCTAACAAAAGAATTTCAACCATGTTGTTGGAAACTCTGATCTAAAGGGTCCACAGGCCCTTTTGCAATGAACCCCTTCTGTGCAAGTTCGTTAAGACGCAGTAGGCTGTCTCCCTATTGTACAGGAGAAATGTTTTGTCAGACCAGCCAATGGATCAGGAGTTGTTAAACGTCATTCATTTCTCTCCCCTACCTGATGAATCACATCCATCGATGTTTGAGTTTTCAGATTTTCGGTCATCCTTGTCAGCGACATAGTCATATGTGATGTTAGGCACATTCAATGATTTCTCGGAGTTCAGTCCGTTGTCTTTATCAATCTTGGGCTTCTTTCTTTTGCCCTGAAAGTGCAAGCAGTTAGCCACTTATGTAAAACGCTAACGCCAGGCTGGCAAGAAGGATGTCAAAGTTTGAACAACATGGTCGGTTTGAACACCTAGAGTCAAGGCTCACACCACTGTGTACATGCAGAATCATGAGACCTTGAGAGGTAGAAATGAAGATCAAGTTTGTCAAAGCCATAGCTAGCTGCCTACTAATGTGCTTGAAAATCAAGAAAAATAGTGCAAATTCTAAAAGAAATAAAAACATTAGAAAGGTGGAGATAATTTAAAGAAAAGAAAGAGGTAGGGAAAGCATGCAATTACCGGTAATTTCTTTGACTTTGGACTTGGAGATGGAGCATATGCACTGACAGGCTGTCGGACATATATTTTCCATGTTGCAGATTCATAGTTTTCTGCTGCGTGGCATCTCCATGATGTCTGAAAGGAATAAAACTCTAATGCTGTTTAAACTGTCTTTTTGGATGAGCTTAAATATTTCTGGTGAATTAGTCATTGAGCAAAAGCACTACAGTACACCTACTTGTGACACAAGCTGATTTTCAGGCCCTTAACCAACTTGACACAATTTGTTGAAAGTTTCAGAATGAACAAATTTGTTATCATGTGGCTAAAAGTTTGTAAAGCCAAATAAGTCTGCACAGTTGAGCATCAACTTTCTGTTTCATTGGTTCATCCATTCCACTAATGTAGCGAATAGACCCACGAGATTCAAAGTCATTGAAAAACTTCATGAGTCAAAAATAAATACAACATGTAGCTAGGCTTGTGATTTTGCCAAACACAGCAAAACATCAAATAATAGTGCACATATTTCTCTCTGAATGCTAACTCATTTATAGTTTGAGATCAGGAAAGGTCACTCAGTCCATTTCAGTTCCTCAATTCTGATGACTCTAATTTTCCCTTATTGCAGCATTCTGTCAGTCCTTAAATGAGTTCCGAAGTTTCGCCTCAACTATTCCTTCCAGCACTCCACTCTATACACTGATCCAATCTTTAAGGGAAGAATTTCCTGACATCAATCATAAATTTACGCATTCCGAAGAATTGAGTTGAAATACCGAAAATCAAAGTTGAAAGAGGCCTACTGAATCTGACAGCCGACACATCCATCAAATGTGGACCAGCAACCAACAATTCAATACAATAGAATCAAAAGAGTTGAAAAGCCACCATTTTGAACCTGTGAATTCTTGTTAGACTCTTGCAATTTAATTTAAGGTAATTGCCTGGATGTACCCTGTCTTTTGCTTAATTATTCTGGACATCTCAAAGATTACTTCTCAAATTTTACCATTCAAGGCCCAGACTCTGAGATTCTCTTTTTTTTGATAGATTGAGCAACAGAATCTGTTTTGTGGCTCTTTTTGTGGTGTCTCCAACATATGCCTCTTGACCCTTGTACCTCAGTGCTCAGAACTGGATCCATTACTCTAGAATACTGAATGGTTTAACTATAAATTCCTCTGTCTCGTGTGTTTAATTCTGTAATTCAGCAGTCGACCGATTTATTGAAATCAATGCTGTGTTGAAGATATGTTCAGTATTAAATCTAAAATGAAGTTTAGGATTCTTTCAACTTTATCTTTGACTGTTTCATGCAGATTCCTAGAATTTACATGTTGCTTATTTCTCCTTCAATAGGATCCACTTTATACAATTTCTGTAACTAATTTCAATTACCCATTGTTCTATCCATATACATATTTTTAAATTTTATTACTGAGCATATTTTTTGATTCCATTGACTTTGTAACATATACAAATTTGATTTACATTGGATTTCTGAGTCTAATTTTGGCTACCAACGTGGGTGGTATAAGTCAGGATAATTCCACGCTCGCAAGACCCACCTTGGTAAAAGAAAATCACAAATTAACAGGCTGGTGTGGGTGGGGGAAGAGGTGAGAGGTGAGGTTGGGCACTGTCAAATCTGAAAGTAGTCACCAGGAGGTCATTAAGGTCAAGCAAATATCAAGGCAGGCTGGGGAAAAAGGCCCATATCTGTTCTGTAGGACTTTGTCCTTGTTGTTTTAAAAGATGATGTGCCCTCTAACCCTCACCACTCACCCACCAAACCAACTCAGTGCCAACTCGTACAGTATCTACAAGGGCAAACTTCAGGAACTGCGTGGGGACAAAATAAAATAAACTTCTAAATATCTAATACAGCTCTTGCTATACAAACATAATAGTGAGAAAATTCCTTGCATAAAGCATGAAACCTTTTAAATCTGAAGTGTTTAATCTCATTTAATAGCAAACAAACAATCTGTTTGTGCCCCTAATCTTTTAAAAGTATCTCTAAGCTGACATTCAGAATCCCATTGCTGAAATAATTGAAACTTTTGAAATGCTGCCAAGCATTCATCACAAATAGTCCTTCGAAAAACGTTTATCAACAAACATGTGACACAATGTTAGTGTCCCTATCTCTGAGCCAAAAGGTCTGGGTTCAAGTAACACCTACCCTAGAAGTGTGCCAAAACATGCCTGAACACAGCTGATTAAAAATAATTTGGGGGTCTTGTTGTACAATTGTGGTGTCACTATGTCTGGACCACAAAATCTGGGTTCAGGGACACGCACAGGATGAAATAGCTATAGAGATATGTCATAAAATGCACAAGCAGTTTGAATTCAAAATAACTGTATTGAACTGGTTCGAGGAAAATGCTACATCTAGTTGTCTACCAATCAAAAATAGCAGTGGGTTTTTTTTAAGAATCAATCTTTGCCAGGTTTTGTTTTACAGTTTAATGAGTGAGGTGGGGGAACATCAGATCAGAAGAATCAAAGAAACATTATCCTTCTTTTCACAGCATCTACAGCTACTCCATAAATTTATGACTCTCATACTTTGGGCTAAGGTGCTTACAACTGGCAAAATGAGTCTGTTTGAACTTAGAGCTAAAATGAAATTACTGTACACCTTCTTCTTCGGAGTAATCATATTATTCACCCAAAATTAAACATAATTTTTCAAAAAGTATGTATTGTATTCTATACGGCAATTTCTTATCAGCTCTGAATATTTACTCCAGAACTGCAAATATTTGAGCTTAACTAAGAGACTTCCAGGCAGATTGGTTTCAAATTCATTCTAGAAAGCTAGGTACAAGGTGTTGTAAAGGCTTATATAGGCCATAGAGATTTCACTTCCACTTCAACAAAAGTCAAAAAGGTTGTTTGGCAAAATTTGTGTCTGTTTTGATTGTTGCTTACTATACTATTCTGGTACAGATAATCTTCACATCTGCATTTAATTATCCATTGGGTCCTTACGTGCTTGTTTCTGTTTTACATAGGTATTAAACAAGGCTCCCCTGTCTGAAATGATGTCACCACTGCCTTATAAATCTCTTCCCTAGACCCCTTTAGCACTCTAGGATAACTACCCTCCAAACCTATGGGGATTTGCCTTGACAGTCCACAGGGGCTCTCCCGGACTCTCATGACAACTCTGGATCAAGGCCAATGAAATAAATTGCATTGGATGCCTGCTGGGTTTTTGTTTTTGACAGTGGGCAGGAATCTATTAGTCCTTAATAAATAATAATACCTTATTATACAATATTGGTTCTATCTTCCAAACTTCTTGTTTCTTTGATTAACCTCTTACTATGAAAGAACTAAAATAATTTTCAGCTATTACATTTCACGTCTGTACCTATGCTTTTCCTCTTGGTCATTTCTTTCCCCTCTGATCACCTCTTTAACAAATTACATCTTCTTGTATTCATGACCATGGACGCCATCTCTTTTTCATCCTCTTCATTTATCTGCTGCTCCGACTGTACTTGAGAATCTTTCCTGACCACAATCCATAGAACTTTCTGAACAATCACATGTTTGTACATTAACATGTCTCTAGGAAATTTCTGAATTGTTCTACAATTACTGAGCCAATACCTCTAATAGAACAAATATTTCTTCACTTTCCTGCACACCAATCCTTCCCTGTATTTGTGCGCAGCATCAGGAAATGGGGACAGTCTGTCATGGGAGCATTTAAAAAGAAAGACATCTGAGATGCATTAAGGAAGTACATCTGGCAAGCTTCATGCATCTTGAAATTTATTATCTTGCAAAATGACTTTGGCTTTATATACTGCTGTTGATTACAATATAGTCACAAATTGTTTGTGCTCTGCACTATAACAATAGTGTAGCTCTTTAAATATTAAATTAAATCAACTTGACCTTTCTTCAACATCACGTGAGCTGTAATTTTCATATTAGGTATGGTTGTAACAACCTACCTTAAGAAAGAAAATTACAATTTCTAAAATTTCTGGAGAGAAACTGGATCTGCCGACGGAAAAGCAATCCCCAGGGTAAACATTCAAAGGTATTGTTAATTTAAGAGGCCAAATTCAAAGCCAGTGTAGATTTTTGACTGTAAAATTCCATTCACAATTGGCTCCCTGACTGTTGCAACATTCGATTCTGTTCAATTTACAACTTAGGACCTACCTGAATGAGAGAAGCAGCTGCAGGAATCTGACGATTAAAATGCTTCTGCCGTTGTTTCTGTTGAACCTTGAGAGCAAACCCCGAACCCAGAATCCCCTGAAACAATCGAAGAGATATCAAATTAAAACATATCAATTGTGTTGGCTTCTCTAGTAGAATTCAATGAGAGGTGCAACACAAACAGGACCAAAACTGAAACGCATGGGGAAACTCAGCAGGTCTGGCAGCATCTGTGGAGAGAAAGCAGATTTAACATTTTGACTCTTCTTCAGAAACAGGCCATTCAGGCCAACTAGTCAAAACAAATGATTGTGTTCCACAGAGCCTCCTCCTACCTCTTTTTATCTGAACCTACTTGTTGAGCCTTCTGTTTCTTTCTGTCCAATGTATTATCTGACTTCTCTTTAAACAAATATATCGTATTTGCCTTAACTACTTCATACGGTGGTAAGTCATACATGCTAACTACACTGGATAAATTACTTTCTCCTGAATTCCCTGTTCTAGTTTGGTGACAGATTTGGATTCATGAAGTTCCAGCATGCTTTCTTCGTTTCTACAACCTATTAAAGAACTCAAGGAACCCATATGATTTATTTTTAAAGGTCTTACCAATTGACCTTGCCACTTTCATGTATATGGGCATTGAGGACCTCGTGCTCATCTTCACTTTTCAAAATGGTGCCATTTGTTGTATATTATCTTTTTGCATAATTCCTCCCAAAGGTTGTCACTTTACACTGCTCCGTATCGAAACTTGAACAGCTGTCATGTTGCATGTTTCACCAAGTCATCCTGAACATTCCTGATTGTGGAATCACAGAATCTTTGGAATGCTGCTCCCTACACCTGGGTCGAGACTGATTATAAAAACCGCAATATAATTGACCCAAACCTAACTTTTGGGGGTATCGCCATTGCAAATTACCTCCTAATCTGGAAAACTTCCAGCCACTGTCACTTTTTGTTGGCTGTCAGTGAGACAGATTTGTATCTATACCATCATTTTGCTCTTATTTTCATAGGTGACTTATTTCCATGATGGAAATCATTACGACCGGTGACATTGCTTCAGGATTTCAAGGTAGGTTCTTTCATTAGTTGATTCATCAATGACCTTCCCTCCAACATTAGGTCAAAAGTGACATTGCAACTGTGTCTCCATTCGTTCACTGTCCCTGGGTCAAAATCCTAGAGCTCCTTTCCCAACAGGACTGTATGTACCTGCAGCACTTGTATTGCATCATTTTAAGGAGGTAGGCCACCACCACCCTCTTAAGGAAAATTAAGGATAAGCAACAAATATTGGCCTATCTAGGCATGTCCATATCCTACGAAAGAATAAATAAAAAGATGTTTGTAAAGTCCTTCCTAAAGACCATATATGCAAACTTGATCATGTTAACATGATCAAACCTCTCTGCTACATCAAAGATTTCAATCAAGTTAGTCAAACACAATATACTTTGAAGAAATTGAAGCATCACTTTTATTACTCATTGATTAACTCACTTCTTTCCAAATTAGTTTTGTTTATGCCTACAATTAATTTCCAATAACATCCTCACCACTGATGTTAGGCTGACTGTCTTGTGTTTTTGGGTGTGTCGCTCACCCCATTTTTTTTTGTTTGCTATTTGGAACGTTCCATCATTATTCTTCGACCAATGAATATTGAAAGAATGCCACAAGGGCACCAGGAATGTACACAGCTCCCATCTTTAAGTCCAAATGTACATATGGAGTAGATGATTTCACCCCTGAAACCTGCTTCAACACTCAATAAGATCACAGTCGACCTGATTTTGGCTGTAACTCTACTTTCTTGCCCGTCTTCATAAACCATGATTCCCTTGTCAATTAAAAACCTAACTCAACCTTAAATATATGCAATGTCTCAGCTGTAGTGTAAAGGGTCATGTGAATATGTAAATAAGGTAACTTAGATCTTCTTTGGAAACTGATGTAAAATCACATGACGATAAGATTATTCTCTCTCGTGGCCTTGTGGCACAGGTGAAGTCTTGGCCTATATTTAGTTAATATTTACCATGTTTAAATAAAAGGTAATGTTTGGCCTGACATCCAAAAACTGCAATATTTGCCAACCTCTCTCCTGGACTCAGTAGATCAACCCACATGACCCAATACCTTTCGACTTGTTCCTATTCTGCATCATCCCTCTGGAAGTCTGAAGGACTATCCAAAGCTGCTTCATCTTCATTGTTCCAAACACACCAATGTTTTCTACATCCTTGATTGACTGTCACTGATCTTTCACTTTCTATATAATGACTGCAAGGTAAGGTTGAGCATCAGATTTCCGAGGTAAAAAACAGACGATAATTAGATGACACAGGTTTATTTTAAAGCCACATATATCCAACAGGTTTAAAGTGGGCAACAAATCATTTATGTACAAACTAAAATGAATGAATTCCAATTAGATTCAGTTGATTGTAAATGCTATCACCTTACTCAGACATATACTTCCTCCACAGATCTTTTTTATTAGGATTCTATTCATTCTTTATCAACATTTTACCCAGGTATCTATTGAGCATACAATTCCCTTCTACCCAGCTACTTAACTCAATGAGTACTAAAAGGGGGTGTCCTCATCACATGTTGGTGATCAGTTCTATATTTCCAGTGACTCAGTTTCTCAGTTGGAATATTAATGATTATTTGAGTGTGTTTATGAACCTAGGTAGGTAATCATTGAACATTTCCTCACAATAACAAGCTTTCCAACTAAATATATTTCCTTATGAAGGAATTACTGCATAGAAGGTAACGATGCATATGGTAACTCTTATTCTGGTTGACCTAAACGATAAGTCAAGATTTCAACCGATTCCTATGGTACAAAATTGCATTTAAAAACAAAACTTACTGCAGGAAGTGCAAAAAATGAAATTGCAAACACGGAGAAACACGAAGCAATTGTCCTGCCGATCCAGGTCTGGGGAACTTTGTCCCCATATCCAATCGTTGTGACCGTCACCTGTGTAGAAAAAGACCAAGCTCGTGAATTTTAAAATTGCTTTCAAGGGAATTTCCACCATGTCAAAGTGCTGACATCTTGGAAGTGGAATTAACGGAAATCAGTTTAAATCACTTTCCTCATCATTGCCAAATCAATCATCACATGAACCACTGACGTTCAGCAGCATCAAACTCAAAGTAACTGAATGTTGGGTGGGGTGTGTAACAGATAGCCAAGTTTCTGTTCCTACATGAAGATAATATCATCAGGAGAAAGCTGAATGTTATTGCTGCTGCAAAGGCATACTATTGTACAAGCTTGAAAACTGAAATAAATACAAAAAAATATTGCAAGTATTGGAGGTGGGCATGATAGAGATAGATTGGCATTGGGTTTGTCTTTTTTTGTTACACTTTCACTTCTCACCAAACCCAAACTCAAACTATTACAGGGGAGTTATGATATTCTCCGTAGATTCTTTGAGAAGGAGGCCATTAAGCCAACATACATCGAACAGTTCTTTGGAAAGGCCAACCAAATATTCCTGTACACCTCCCAATTCTTTCTACTTACCTTTGAGATTTTGTGGAAGCATATATCCAAGTCGCTTCTGAAAGTATGTTTGAATCCAAGTTCCCCTCCCCTTCAAAGTATAACATTTTCCTGTATAAAATCTTGCTATTTTTTGATCATTATCTTAAATCCCTGACCTTCTGTTTCTAACCCCTCCGCATCTCGCCTCATTTACTTGATCCAAACTTCTCCTAATTTTGCATACCTCTACCAAATCTACTATTAGCCTCAATCTCTGCATAACTAAGTTCTGTTATCATTTTAGTAAACATCCTCTCTACTTTCTCTCAGGCTTTCACCTCTATCATAAAGGTGTGGTACCCAGAATTGGACACAATATTCCAGGTGAGGCCTACACAGTGAACAATGAAGCTTAATTATATAGGGGAGGTGATGGCCAGTGGTATTGTCAATAGACTATTAATCCAGAGACCCAGGTTGTACTTCAGTCTTGGGTTTGAATCTACAGCAGAGGGTAGAATTTGAAAGCAGTAAAAAACTGGAATTAAGAACTTAATGATAACTGTCATCGATTGACAGAACAACCCATCTAGTTCACTAACATCCTTCAGGGAAGGAAACTGCCATCCTTACCAATTCTGGCCTACATGTGACTCCTGACATGCAGCAATGTGGTTGACTCTTAATTGACCCCTGGGTAATAGATGCTGGCTTAGCCAGCAACACCCATGTCCCATGAATTAATTGAAAAAAATTGTTAATTTTACATTCGCTCACCTTACCTCGTCCTCACCTGGTCTGGCCTACACGTGACTCCAGACCTTCAGCAATGTGCTGGACTCTTAACTGCCCTCTGGGCAATTAGAGATGGGCAATAAATATAGCCAGCTATGCCCATATCCTGTGAATGAATAAAACTAACTTCCATTTCCGTGTTCTTTTCACTCTTAAGACAAGGATCTCGTATGCTATTTTTGAACAGAAATTTTTCTTGCCACCTTCGAAGATCTATATATGTGAACACATGCAAGCCAATGTTCCTGAATGCCATTCTAAGATGCTGATGTTGATCAGAAGTGAAACCATGCATGTTCCCAGCTGCATTGGAATAGCTAAGCTCAGCTTGCATCGTTTAATGGTCTCGGGTCATACCATTTATTCTTTAAAAGTCGGCTTTTGAAAAAAAAAAAATCAATATCCGAGTGTTCTATGGGAGCTTTACTTTTTTGGAGTTAATTGCAAAGTAAAAACTAAGGGGGAGGGGTCACAACCATAAAGATATGAAGACAGAGTGAAACAATATCCGAGGTGTACAGCTCTCATTCCAAGCAGAGAAAAAGATATTCCTTTGTTTGAAATCAGACACTTAACAAGTTCACACAAGTAAAAGCCTTGTTAGAGATACTTTTTTTTTCCCTCCCTTTCTTTTCTTAATTCAGTGAATGATTAGAGGAACAATGTAATGGAGCACAGCTGGGGAGCATGTGCCTGAACAAAAATAGAAAGGATTAGAAATGTGAAGTCACACGACAGCATGATACTGATCTGAAGGAAAAGCTTCAGCTTTCAGTCCTGGAGGCAGAACCACTGACTGATACCAGTGCACAGATGTCCTTTCTTCAAAGATAACACAGATTTATCAATAATTCACTAACATACACCCCTAGTTTCTATTTGAAGTGCAACCAGGTGTCCTGTTACATTATAGCACTGATTCTCTCATTGGAAGGAAAAGGACACATTACAGTTGGGGTCTTATCAGTAAACCAAGCCTTTCACTGATTCTGCCGAATAGGAAGCACATTAAACACAAAAGTGGTGAAAGTCAGAGAGCGGGCAGTAACTTGCATTCGAATCCATCTGAAAAAGAAACCACAGGCAACTATGCTACCTCTCAGCAAAAGAAAACCCAAAATAGTAACTCCACATCTGCACTGACAAACTACAACTAAGAGAATGCCACATTTAAAGTAATTTTTACCATTGGTAGGTGGGAAGGTGGCATGAAATTGTAGTCTAACCATTTGAATTAAAACAACCTAAGGAATGCATTCTGTTATAGATTGTTGGTTTATTGATACCTCAGGATCACTGTTCAATTCTTACAGTAGCCCTTTGATAGAACAAGTTGTTACATACAATCGTTCTGCACTTTGAAGTCTCAATTCTAAGTCTGTTAAACAACTACTCTGTAACTTTGTATTCCTCACTCTGTTCAATCACCCTGTGTGTCTTTGCACGTTATGGTCTGCTATACTGTACGCAAAACAGAACTTTTCATTGTACTTAGGTTATGTGACAATAATAAATCAAATCAAATATCTAATAATAGAATGGGTATGTTGGAGGTATTTAAAAAAAGTACAAAGTTGATTTAATGTGGTGAGGAAAGGGCTAATTTTGCTGAAGTAGTGAGGACCGACAGTAGTGGCTTGTTGGACATGGCTGTAAAAACGGTCTCCATTTCAAAATTGGTGAACAGGATAAGTATATTATTTTCAACTACTCATTAATAGATAACAAAGCACATCAACCCTGTGCTAGAAACGTTAAGTTTAGCGAGCTTTTTTTTACACAAAGAATGCTTTACAATAAGTAAGTGAATAAGTAAATTAATCACAGCATTTAGAGGGAATTAGATAAATATTTGAAGAAGAAAAACGTTAAAGGTCACAAGGTGATGAGCAGAGTACGTAATTTCAGTGTTCAGCTGTTCTGGCACAGATACATTGGCTTTATAGTCTCTCTCTGTGCTGATGCTTTTATGATCCGAGGCACATAGTTTATAACTTTTGGTCTGAAACAGGTCTTAGACCTGACTCAAATTAATGGTGTGAGAAGGAACAGTTGGTTTTGGTCAGCAGTTAGGAAAGTTCTGGGTGCGTGTTGACGAACAGTAAAGCAATTTTATATGTAAAGGTTCTATCAACTGGAAATGTAACTGAACACATTGTTAGCACTTCAATGTGTACTTAACCCAAAGTTTTACTGACATCACTGCTTTTCACAAAATGACACAATAACAAGAAGTGGAAATTTGCTCAGAGTATACAGAGAATCTCTTGTAGTTGTGAAAGGAAGATTAACCCCTTATAACATCGGCGAAAGAAAGTTCAATGTCATTTCAATAAAGACATCTGTTTCTGTGAAAATTGCCACTGTTTAAACTGCATAGGGCCTGACGTTTGTTCCCAGCACTCGTGTTTTACAACGCTTGAGCTTTAAAACCCACCAGCTGCACTTCCAAGGTTAGGTGGGATTTGGGGGGGGGCACAATTGCAGAGGGACTGCAAGTGAGGTCAGACAACCTGATGGAGGTGACTGATTCCCAAAGTGGGCTGTGCAGATAGTCATGCCTCACCCATGCCAATGTGCCCACCCACATATCCTCCATGGCAACTTATTCCCCTGTACCAACCCCACATGATGCCTTATACCCACTATCCCATTCTATGACCATCCTGCATGGTAGCTCATACGATCCTCCATTCAACACTGTCCCTTTTGCCCATCGCCTTCAAGTCCCTTATATCCTCAATCATTCCCACGGCCTTCTATAGCCAATGTGACAACTCAGGGATAACTTACGTCAACTCGTACTCTCCGCCACCCACTCTTTGCCCTTACCCTCCATGCCTAACTTACCCCGACAAAAAGGGCACCCTAGCTATTGCACTGAGAATGGAACTGATCTTACCCGGTCTAAACGCCACACTCCAGGTTCCACACACACCAGGGATTGAAACTCCAATTTAAAGGAAAGCAGCTACATGCAGTGGCCATGTATGCTCAAACTGTGAACCAGCCCCATGTGAATGAGAGATGACGGTTCAGGGCTGGGACTCATGACTTCCAACTCTTCTTTATTGTGGACAAACACTCCATTGTAGCAAAACAAAACTGAGCTATAGACACTCGTCTGTGGTTAGAATGATGTTAGTGCGTCTTCATCAGTGGTGATACAATGAATCTAATCATGCATTTAAGATCCAGAACATTTATAATTGCAATAAGGAAGCTTTGGACTTTGTCCTGTTAGTGATCTGTGAAGTTTCTCAGTTAGCAGTGCTGCCTCACAGCGCTGGAGACCCGGGTTCGATTCCACCCTCAGGCGACTGTCTGTATGGAGTTTGCACATTCTCCCCTGTGTGGGTTTCCTTCGGGTGCTCCGGTTTCCTCCCACAGTCCAAAGATGTGCAGGCTAGGTGGACTGGCGATTCTAAATTGTCCTATAGTGTTCAGGGATGTGTAGGTTAGGTGGTTTGTAGGGTGATGGGTCTGGTTGGGATGCTCTGAGGGTCGGTGTGGACTTTTTGGGCCGAAGGGCCTGTTTCCACACTGTAGGGATTCTTTGATTCTATGAAAATACAGTAAAAATTATTGTATATTGTTGCCACTCTCCAGCGCCATCTTAAAAATTAAACCAAAACATAAATTATAAAGGCAGCAAAATGAAGAAATAAAGAATTTGCTTTGGAATATTG